GCGCGCGAGTGCAGAAGTGAGTTCTATTTCGTCTTCTTGCAGTTGAATCTTTTGAAATCACAATAAATGCACATACAGGAATCGAGAAGCAGAATCGAAATGTATAATTTTATAACAAGTAATTTGATTCCTGACCTTAAGCATCTGATCTGATTTCCGAAATTGGAATAGCTTTTCGATTCCCAACCCTCATACTAAATTATTTAATTCTTGCATGCAAAAAGACCTGTATGGTGACTATGGGGCTATGTAAAATATTTTTTGCGACTTGCTAGGTTTATCATTTGTCTTTTTTTTCCGATAATGTCGATAATCGTCTGTTACCTGACTGTTGACATCGACATCGCGATACTTACGAGACATCGTCGATATACGATAATATCGTCATATCGCCCAGCCCTACTGTAAAAGCCTCACTCCCGATTTCTCTCAACATGGGGACAGGAGAGGTGACAGTGAATACATGAGAAAACGTGCGTTACTTAATTAAAAAAATAACTTAGATATTTTCTTATAAATTTAAAAGTAATGTGTTACTTTACTAGTTACTTGAAAAAAGTAATCAGACTACATAACTTGCATTACTTGTAATGCGTTACGGCCAACACTGTTCATGACCGTTTCTTAACACACTTAAGCAGGCTTTTAAAAAGTGCTCTTTGTAATAATGTAAAATTAAAAGTTTTACTTTAAATTACATTTTAAATAACACTAAAGCACATGTAAAGTACTTGATTATAATTTTTGATATTACATTTAAAGTTAATATATTTTAAAAGTACTAAATTGCAACTTCATCATTACAAATGTGTAATTCAGCTAATTGCATTTAATATCAATTTAAACTATAATACATTTTTATTTAATTGCAATTATCATGGTGTCCAAAAACATTACATTCAGTTTGCGCTTAAGTATGTTTCTGTCATGACAACTCTCGGAGGGATTGGCATGGTAATGCACATGACAATGTTAATGTATTTGGTCTTGGCGGAATAGATATAAATATAAATAGATAAATACTGAGACTTGCTACTGCCAATACATCCACAACATGCTGCTGTGAGCATGTAAGAAATATTGCTGCTGCAAATATAACATACATGAAATAACCCCCATATAGCATACATGAATCACCTCATAGCAGATCTATACAGGTGGAGCTGGGGAAGGAGGAGGGTTTCTGAAGCAAGCTGCAACTGCTACGGCAAGCACTAGTCATATATTTGAATGTTGAGTAGCGAGCTCATTGGCTACCGATACAGGAGAGAACCAATCAGCTGTGCCATGTGATAATGATGTCATTAGGTCAGATTGAGTTAGACCTATCGGACTGCGCCATCTAGAGTTTCATGCCAGAACTCTGTATTAAGTATATTATTACTGTAATAAGTACTCTTTTTAAAAGTATGATAACGTGTACTTCTTTTTCACTTTTTTTTTTTCATTAGGGTGCATTTTGGTGTAGTGTTGTTTATTGATAAGACGATAATTTGAGTGTGCTTTTATTGGCCAGGTAATTGTTTGAGCCAACCATCAGCGTATACATTTTCATAGTCTTGAGTTCAGTATTTCAGAAAGTGATTTGACGTGTTTCTGTGGGAAATGCTGCTGTTTTAATGAAGATGTTGTTGATGGTGTTGTAGGACAGGCCGCTGTTCAAACACATCCTGTCCACGCTGGAGTCCATGTGGAACGACAGTCACTTACCTGATGAGTGCAACACTTTCCTGCACAATAAAGCAGAGTGGAGGTACAGTAACTCACTAATGATTACATACTGCACAAATATCAGTATCATATTCCTGCCAGTTGATGGATTTTTTTGCGTTACTACATTACGCAAAAATGCAACACAAAATTAAACTAAAGTTTAAATACTGCAAAGTTTTAAGCAAAATTAAATAGGTAATAATATAATACAATACACAGTGTAACACTTTTATTTTATTTCTAACACACTGCCATGCGTTTCTGTTCACACATTTTGTGTACTGGTTGTCTAGAAAGTTCTGGGTGTTTGATGCTATATTAAGACTGGAAGTGGGCCACAATACAGGGACAAGAGGTTCCTGTCCCTCCCTACAGCTAAACAGAGAAACAGACAGAGCCAAAGAAACAAGAAGAGAAGAAATGTGATGGGTCAAAAAGGGGAAATTGAGGTCATGTAAATGTGAAATTTCAACAGCGTTTGTCAGAAAAGAAACTGACAAGGAAATCAATCACACGGGAAGTTTTGGGTTGGAGTGGAGCAAGCAGGGGGCGTGGCTAAACGAGAGGGGCCGTCCTGATGGGAGGAGTTTGAGGACTTGAGTTCTAGCTGCTGTCCAACTGTTGTCTGGAGAGAATGTGTAGCTCCCTCTGCTGGTTACATAACATATTACAAACGAACAATGACTCAGGCTTGACTGTACACACCTATAATTAAAGAAACAGCGCTGGACGATTCTGCACTAAATGTCGCCTACCAGCTAAGAAAATGTCTCACCTTTGGCAGCATTTATGCTGTCTAGGGAATAAAGACAGCATTCAGCCATTATTCTTCCATTTAAATTATTAAAATTGTCAGTGCGCAATCCAAAAGTGTGAGTGTTGTTATAAAATTTGTTACAAAATAATTAATAATAATAATAAATAATAAAAAAACTGAAAGCAATAAATAATGTTAAAATGAAAAAAAAAAAAAAAAAAAAAAATGTATCACCTAATCCTAAATATAATTACAGCTCCATAAATACTTTATGTACATCAGTGTATGCCACATTATGCATAAATAAATAAAAATAGGTATGTTGTCAGTGGCAAACATGCTAATCACTTATTGATATGTGACCCTGGAGCACAAAACCAGTCATAAGTCGCTGGGGTCAACTTTCAGATGATGTATAAATCTCAATTTCAAAAAATTGACCCTTATGACTGGTTTTGTGGTCCAGGGTCACAAATGTTTATGAATAGTGGTATTGTGTTGATGAATATGATGTGTACTGTGTGAGCAGGTGTGAGATCGAGGCGACTCTAGAGCGTCTGAAGCGGCTGGAGAGAGATCTGAGCACCAAAGAACAAGTGCTGAAAGAAAGAGAGAGACGGTTAAAGATGTGGGAGAGAAAGCTCATCGAGCAGTCCAACACACCGGTGAGTCTCTGTCTTACTGCAGGTCACTGAGGACTTTGACTCTTCGCTCTAACTAAAAGTAACCGTTTACTCCAAAGTCAATCTGAATAATTTCTGTCATGCTTTACTCTCATGTTTTCCCAGATCTTTTATTTCTTTGGTAGACCATAAAAGGAGATGTTCTGAAGAATATTTCTAGTCTTAAATATATCTTATAGAATATTCATGCTCCTTTCCATATTATGAAAGCAACTGACAAGGGACTGTCAAGATCCAAAAAGAGAACAATAAAATTACTATAACACTTGTGAAAAAGTAGTACTCTTATAGTTTTAAAAAGAGTGTTTATTACGGAAATAATATAATTTAAACGATAATACTTAAGTGCAACCTGAATGTTATGTTTAATTGCATCTTAATTTATTATTTGAAAGATTTATAAATAGCTGAACAAATATCTGGATTTCATAATTACTTTGTGTTTGAAATATGGTTAAAGTGTATACTGTCAAATGTACTGACAAACATTTATGGTAAACAAAAAAATACTTTAATGTCATTTCTATTGAAACTTGTCTTTCATGTATTTAAATACATTTGTAATTACACATTTGTAATGATGAAGTTGCAATTTAGTACATTTAAAAACTAAACTTTAAATGTAGTATTAAATAACACTACAGTAAAAAGATAATCAAGTACTATACATGTTTTAGTGTTAGTCAACACAACAAAATGAGTGTACATTAAAATTATGTTATTAAAACATAATGATTTAAAATGTACTTTAAAATAAATCTTTTAATTTGACATTTCATTCATATTATATTATCTGCAATTAGTTTTTTTTTCTAAATAAATATAAATATAAGATTTTTGCACATTTCTTTTTCATAGTCCATAGAAAATTGTGTTGTTGTGACATTAATTGTGACAGTTAATTGTGACATTTTGAGTGAACTGTTCCTTTAAGTGGTCTCTAACGCACATAGAAACAAGCCACTCCCGTAAGTTACTTGCGGCTCACCTGAGCATCATGGGATGCAGTGTTTCACTGCACAACTAAACCAGACTACAGCCTCCACAGATCCTTTATATCTATGCATTTGGCAGTCGCTTTCATACAAATCGATATATTGCATTCAAGGCATATATTTTGTCAGATCACATATTCCGTGTGGATCAAACCCACACCCTTGGCGTGTGAGTGCCGTGCTTTACTGACTGAGCTACAGGAACGATGTATGAATAAACACACATGACAGCAGAAACATTATTAGCTTGTTTCATGACTATTTAAAGTGTTGCAAAAAAAGGAAGCGCAATCTTTTCATTGGTTGCGTGTCTTCAGCTGTACGCGTTGCCCTTCTGAATCACTGTTCAAATCTTATGTTACTGATTTCCTTTCCTTCATTTCTTCTTTTCCTGTCTTTGTCCTTTTGACTTTTTCTGTGTTCTGTTGTCATCTGTCCTCGTCCTCTCAGTTCTTTCTTCCTCTGGTGGCAGCGTTAAGCTCAGAGTTGTTTGTTGACTCGAGTGTGGAGGAGGAAGTGAGTTCAGAGGTGTCGTGTGATGGAGCGCTGCAGGCCATCATGAGGGAGTTTGATCAGATGTTTCCTCTGGACCCACAGGCCAATCTGAACTCCTCCAAGATCCCCATGCCTTTGAGCTTAGCTGCGTTTGACTCATCCGATGACAGTGATTAGGACTAGGGATGCATGATATTATCTGACCGATATCGGAATCGGCCGATAATGGCTTTAAATGTACATAATCGGCATCGGCCCGATATGAGAAAATGTGCCGATATGTCTTGCCGATAAGAGGAAGATGTTAACTCACATGTGCTCAGGGTGTACTAGTGATTAGATCACATCAGAAATGTGACTCATTCTGGAAGCAAAGTTTTGCCTGAATGGCAATTAGATTCACTGCTTTGGATCGCTGCATAAAAACTGAGAATGCACTTACAGAATGACGCGTTTGGTGTATGATAGAATAAACAGTAATAGCATGTGCAGCGGTAGCAGCGGCAGCCTCCCCCAGGTCCTAAAGCCCAGTTCGGTAAGGTGTTTTAGTTCCGTAGGGGGCGCTGTTGGCCTACTTCTAATAAAATGAAAGTTATTTAACATTTAGACTGTTTCTGATTAAATAAAGCAGTAATTGATGTCATAAAATCATGAGTATGTTTTGATTTAAAGGTCAGAAGCGGTTTCAAATCATAAGGTTGCACTATAAATAATCCTTATTTGTTAGTTTGACTGAATAAGTTGTAAATGTTCCAATTTTAAGTTCAATTTTCAGACATCAGAAGAATAACGTAACACTTGGTATTTTAATGTGACGTGATATAACAAAATTATCTGTGGCATAATATGACTATATGACGTATGATAACTATATGACAAAAGACAACATATACTGTTAATTTGTGGTCTGCTCTTCTGATTTAGTTTATGATATATCCCACCAGTAATGAACTGGAATGCACTATGCACTCTTGTTTTTCTCCCCAAATCCTCACGTCGCTTTGCAGGTTTGTTTTCACACAGATGCTTTAAAATGTAATTGTCTTTTCACTTCTTATCCCTGTTAGCTGTGTTTACTAGAATGTTTCCACTTTTTGAAAATGTTTATAATTGCATTCATAGAGCGAACCTTTTGCTGATTGTTTACAGTTTAACGGAAGTTATTCCCATAATTTGCGCAAAGCATCATGGGTCGTAGGAAGAAGATGGATAGTGTGATTCAAATGAATTTCCAAGCAGTATTTTATCATTTCAGTATAATTAATGAGCAATTATCGTCTTAATAAGGATAGCTCTTTATTTAGCACGCTAAGAAATATTTTAACCCCTTAGCCTAAAACACACAGTGTACCGTGGGCGCTAAAGGGTTAACCTAAAAAATATACACTATTAAATTAAATTAAATATACACTAATACATTTTGGACACACCTACTAATTTTTTACTAATCATAAGCAAATTCATCAAAACACAAACTGCTTTTATACAGTATATTGCTTTACTTATTCATTCAGTTATATAAAAGAACATTTTAGTGTTCATAAAGACAGGCACAGTTTATTTTTGTCTACAAAGCTAATTTGACCATTCAAGCAGAAGTCTTGAAACTTAATAATAACTTAAAATAGACTCAGCCCAAACATTTCTCTGGTAGTGGTCTAATCAAAATTAACTGTTTTTATTCAGGATTGTTTAGGATTTAGATTGAGTGTGTTTGTGCTTTTTGAATCTTTTGTTCTATCAGGAACAGTATTTGTTTTTGCTGGATAAAATATGCGTTTTTTAGAATAGTTTTAAATGGAAGTAAGTGGTCTGTTGTGCTGTGGAGGTTAGAGCAGTCACTTTCCTTGATTCCCTGTAAAGGCTGTATTAGGTGAGGCTGCTTGATGCCCACCAGGTCCTTATGGATGTTATTTATGGCAAATGAAGTGGATGTATAGCCACATGCTGAGGAGAGCGAGAGAGAACAGCATGTCAGCATGGCGAGGACAGTGCACACTTACGAACAACTGACATTTCACTGACATTAAGATTGGCCAATTTGAGCAGTGTGAAGACTGTGAGGAACTCGCACACCATCAAGAGAGAGAGGGAGAGAGAATGAAAGACACGGGCAAGAAAGAGTATTTCAATATGTCTTCCAGTAGAACTGAAATGCATTACATCTGTTCCTCTAATCAGACTAATATGAATTCAGGTAAAGTCTGGAATTCACTTGTGAAAAAAGGAGAGTTTAATTGTAATGGCTATTAAAGTATTAAAAAAAACTGTACTTAGTGCAATAGTATTACTGAAATAAAAGGCCACTTAAGTGTATTTAAAGAAAGCACATCTACATGACTATGTTTCTAAACACACTTTTAATAAGTGCACTTTGTAACACTGTCAAATTTAATAAAGGACACTTGACTAACACACTAAAGCACATGTAAAGCGCTTAACTGTAGCATGTTGTATGATATTATATTTAATGTTAATATATTTGAAATGTACTAAAACACAGCTTCTTCATCATTACAAACATATAATTGCACATGTATTTAAATACACGACATACAAATAACATAAAACTAACATTTAGTTATATTCAGTTTAGCATGAATTCTTTTCAGTACATTCAGCAGTTCTTTAACCATATTTCAAAGACAAAGGAATTGTGATATTACATGTGAAATATGTACTAAATGCAATGATCAATGTCCAATAACATTACATTCATTTTGCACTTAAGTATATTCTTTTAAAGTGTATTATTTAATAAGTACTGTTTGTAAAAGTATGCTTAAGTGTACTTCTTTTTCACAAGGAATGGTAAAACATATTGTACAGTGAAGGAAATGTTGAACAGGTAAACGCTAATTAAACTAATTTGACTCTTTGTCATCTAAATAATGATAACGTGTGGGTTTGTATATTCATCCATTCTGTCTGAATTTGTGCTTGTGCATGTTGCTAAGCTAATGCTACACAGAAATATAATGCTACGTAGAAATATAATACGGGGAAGTCGTGGCCTAATGGTTAGAGAGTCGGACTCCTAACCCAAAGGTTGCGGGTTCGAGTCTCGTACCGGCAGGGATTATAGGTGGGGGGAGTGAATGTACAGCGCTCTCTCTTCCACCTTCAATACCACGACTGAGGTGCTCTTGAGCAAGGCACTGAACCCCCGACTGCTCCCCGGGCGCCGCAGCAAAAATGGCTGCCCACTGCTCCGGGTGTGTGTTCACGGTGTGTGTGTTCACTGCTGTGTGTGTGCACTTTGGATGGGTTAATTGCAGAGCACTAATTCCTAGTATGGGTCACCATACTTGGCCACATGTCACGTCACTTTCACTTTCAAATATTGAGTACTATAGGACATTTGTGATCATACTGAACTGTTTGTATTGGTTCTTATAAAAATGTATTTATAGTCAACATTTCGTTCTTTATCTCAGATTTATTTTTTCACTGAGCTTGTCAGCATATTGACATCACTAATCCATAATAAAAATACTTCTGATATTTGATCAAACTTTTGCTTGGGTTATTTGTTAGAGGTAAAAATGTAATAACATCATGTGCATTCCTCAGATATGCTGTCTTTATATTTATCTCCACTAGATAGTTTATTTAAAGTTTTTTTTGAGAAATCTCTCGTATCAGTGATTTAGGTGAGACTGTAATATCTTCCTGTACTGATGTCTAAAGATCTGATTTACTGACAACACAGTTCTGTGCTGAAATCAAAGGACTGTGACTGTTTTAACGTGTGATACATGATCAATCTTGACTGAGATATATTGTGCATCAATCTGTCTGTTTTGTCTATTCTGATGGAACTGGATTATGTTCTTAGAAGTTTAAAGAAAATTAGACATTTTATGGAATAATTAATTACTTTAAAGGGTAAAATATGACGTCATCACATAACCTGGGATACAGTTTCACATCATTTTATTAATAGTTAATGTAATTCAAAAACAAAATAATAAAGACAAAATGCTAACTTTTATTTTGTAAAAGCTTCAACATTTGCTAATAAAGAAAGGAGACGTTGGAAACACAGGCTGAGAATGTCAAAAATAGCATCCTCACAGCATCTAACAAGAGTTATTGTTAAAATGATTTGTTACACATATGCAAATGAGGGATTATACTGTATACCAATATTTATTTTTTTGGATCACAAGTGAGCATCATATACTGTATTATGACCGAATCAGAAGTTGATAAATTGATTATGGGTATTCAGTCGTTCTTGTTGTTAATACTGATAAATCTGTACTCCATATTAACACTGGCTGAATATTTAGCTGAATGTCAGTGAAAATAGGTGAAAATGATGACACATGTGAGTCTTTCTGTTCTTCTGTCTGTGTTTGACAGCTTCTCCCAAACCTGGCCATCCACTCCTGGACAGAAGAACATGTGGTGGGTAGAATATTTCTCAATAGAGATGATCTGATCAGAGTTTACTTTTAGATTTTTGTTATTTTTTAACATAATTTGTCTTTACAGCAATTCTGGATGGAGCAGATTTTTCAAGGTGAGATTTTTCATCGTATATATATATATATATAGTCCAGAATGGTTTCTTTGATAGTTATAGTGTTTTAGGTATAGGGTTAGAGAATAGAAAAGATCATTAGGTCAGTATAAAAGCAATAAGAACTGATACAGTCAACTGAAGCTGACTGAAAGTGAGAGTCCCTGCTATGATAGAAACATAAGCGTGAGCACGTGTATGTGTGTGTGTGTGTGTGTGTGTGTGCTGTGTAGGTGATGGAGAGCTGCAGCAGTACGCCGACATCTTCAAGCAGAATCACATCACAGGACAGAGGCTGCTTCTGCTGTCCGAGACGGACATGAGAGATCTGGGTGTGACATCTAAAGGACACATCATACATCTGAAGGTACCAGGCTGCTTCCTCCAGAACATTTTTAAGCGCTAGCACTGGTGCTAGTGTGCCAAACAGCTGATTGGCACAAATGTAAATGTATTAGCACACTGAAGAGTGATATTTGAAATTGTTTAATTATTTTTAAATAATTAATTGTTACATTTGTTATTATGATTATTTCAAACTAAGCATGTGACAGTATCAAATTTCCATTTTGCGAAAATTGCTGAAGCTTTTCACGGTATTATTGTTATCGTCTTATAACAAAAACAACTGAACATTTAAATACAATAAATCAATACACAAAAATGTATAAAGTAAACAAATGTTTCAAACTGATTAAAGTGCAAAAGAATGATAAAGAACCTCTAGTTTCTCAACAATGCTTAAACTGTGCTCAGAGGGTCCAGGATCTCAATATGAACAATATGAAGACCAAATGATTTGAGGAATGCCACATTCTTTTTGGAGAATGAAACTATATTTTAACAATCGACTGATTCGTGTCTTGGAATTCTTTTTATTTCCAGTCAAGCGATTTTAGAAATGTCTGTGACAGCGTTGATATTTTAATGAAACTCAAATAATGAAATGAATAGTTTGTCTTCCTCTGGGATACGCTGGAAACTGACACCACACGTCTGGTCCTGTAAGGCATTCATCTGCGTGCTCCATCCATAGAGAGCCTGATTTGTTGAATGAATTACTCTAGATGTATATGACATATGCCAGAGTCATAAGTGATACACAATGGTATTAATTGTTGTTTTGCTGCTGAAAGTCCATTAAGAGGTCATAATTATGTTACATTCACACACAGCTGGTCATTGGCTGATTGTCAGTGCGCTGCATAAATCCATCTCGTGATGTTTTAAACAATATGTCAAATCTTTCTTTTTCAGACTGAAATTGAGAAACTTACCCACGACTACCTGAACCTGTTCCACTTTCCGCCGTTGATAAAGGCATGTGGTTTTTTGGTTTCATTGCTTCTTACATCAGAGTTGATGGGATTTTGCATTTGATGTGTGGGGTATTAAAAATTAAGATAATTGAATCATAAAACTACTATTGCTTTGCATTAATAAGTGCAGTTACTAATAATAATACACGTTTATTTCTTGGTAATGCATATTTGACAGTAAAGCACTGAGATTGAGTTGGGAAGCATACAACATTTACTTTTATTAAGAGTAACGTGCAAAATCAAATTTTGTATGTACTCTAATCTTATTAAATGCACCATTATTCTTCTACCATTATTCTTTAGTATTATACTGAACTGACCAAAAACTTCAGGGATTATAAAAGGAGCGCTTTGAAGAAATTCACAAATTGAAGACATTTTTTTTTTCAAGTCACTTTGTGACTTTTATTATTGCATACACAAAAAAGTGTAAAACTTTTTGATATTTTATAATTGTGATTTTACAATATCAAAATATATAGCAAAAAAAAGTGGAAATGAATGACTCATCTGCTGCCATTTACTGGTTATAATGGTAATTTGATGTTACCTTTTTTATTTTAAATAAGTGTTTGTTTACCACAAAGTATATTTTGGTCATCCCATTAAAAATAACATTTAGAGCTTTAAAGTGACAAAAATCAATGCTTTAAAGTGACTGTTTCTTTCACACAAATAGTTGTGTGAAATACTTGAAAGTCATTGAAAAGTGCTTGAATTTCTCTCTCAAAAGGTTGTACAAACCCTGAAATGAATAATGTAATAACATTTGACTATTTCTGCCACAACACCATGCATGGTTATAGTTATCGTTACTACTTCTGGTTTGATCTGTTTCTATCAGAGAATTCTGTGCAGAATTGGAATGCTTCTCTCTAGATCTCAAAGCAACCTTAGAACTGATCAGAGCTGATAAACGGTCTGCACTGTGCAGCTCAAATGAGTAGCGCAGTTTCATTATGCTTTTCAAGCCTCTTGTTTTTGTTCCTCTTTTTCGTTCTCTTAAAAAAGGCCGCAAGAGATAAATAATTTTTCATCCAAGACGACGCGTAGCATCCACCCCTTCTTGCCGGCGAGCCTTTGTTTGGGCCCCTGACTCAGGATAGCAACTGCGTCTTCACTTGCCGTTTGAATTTAATCAAAAATTTAGCCAGAAGTCATTTTCTTTTTAAAAGGCAAATGTTATTTAATCTTTCAGCTGTTCATTGTCCCATCATAAATAGTCCCCTTTCAAGGCGTGCGGCGGGGCTGAAGCGGGGCCGCTAATTGCCTCCTATTTCTCTGACATGTGGTGGTTTGGTTGGGAGGAAGCTCAGCGGGAAGAAGGAAACAGGAGTCTGAGAAAATGAGAGCTAATTATTTTCCCCTGCCTGGTGTCAGCCTCCGTGTCAGCCTTGTTTTTACAAACTGCAAGGTTTTTTGCACTAAATAAAACAAACCCGAGTTTTTTTTCCGCCTTTTTCGCTCTCTCGCTCTCCGTCTCCATCTCTCTCTCTCTCTCTTTCCTGGCGGTGTCGTGGTACCAGCTGCACTTCTCAAAGCCTAAATGAGACCCTGCGATTGTGCTTTGCCCATCTGACAGCACAGAGTGTTTCTGTTAATGAGGATATCAGGGCTTAGTCGCCAGAAAGGTGCTGAATTATGTATGAGGTGTCATTAGACGCTTACCACGCTGGCCGTCATTACCGCACATTGTTTCTGCCGCTGCTATTAGGCAGGGCTAACGTTTGGCAAACGCTTGGTCAGCGCTTGGCCGACGTGTTACTGGATGCCTTTAAGCCCCGTCCAAAACAAACAGGGTCGTGTTCACGATTGCCTTTTCACGCTTCCTCGCCTCTCACACCAAGAAGAGCGCTCGTGCTCTGTCGAGATGTTGTGGAAATGTGAACGACCACGTGCTTTAAGCTGTTACCGTTGACCTCGGCGCCGGGCTGGCAGATTGGACGGATCATTACCGCTCTGCCCAGCGCGCTCGGCTCAGCCGTGTCTAGCATGGCCTCTCGGTAAGGGGCCTCATCTCCATTGCTAATGTGAATGAGAATGGATGTTAAGGTCTCTCGCTCTTGTTATGCCTGAGAAACGAACACGGCCGCTTCTCTGCACTCTGATCTCTCGTAGCTTCAGTCTTCACATCATTCTGTCTCAGAAGCACGTGTGTGTGAATGAATACTCTCCCGTTGACATTCAAGCATTCATTCTCACGCTTGGCTTCCTCCAGGATATGTTTGCATTTACACGCCACACCTCAATGCCGCATGGCTTAACAACAGAGCAAAGTTCAACATTATCTGTAACACTCGACAAGCTAGTGTTAAATGTGTCAATTTATAAGCATTCATCAGTTGTCCTATTGTACGTATTCAAGGCCCAGAGACACTGAACCATCATAAAAGAACGAAATGCTGACTTTGTTTGCGGTGTATTATGTCGCCTGTGTCTTGGCCAAAAAAGCTGTGCTTAAACACACCGCAAATACTATAGCCAGTGGCCAACTAGCACGTAACTCTCCATACCAGCAGGTGGCAGTAGACTGTATGTCAAATCAAAAGAAACCAGAACTAGAACTGCAGATATTCAAACTGTAAACAAAGAAGTGCTTAATGTTGGGTCTGAGTCCACCTCGACGAGTCAAGTTGAGTCCTAGTCCTTAACAAATTGAGTTTGAGAGGGAGACGTTTATTAATGTCTTTTTATTACACGGCTCTGTGGAATACTCAATTCTGATTGGTCAATCGCGCCATCCAGCGGTATGTTATTCCCAGATAACAACCGCCAAATTGAATAACACACCGCTCATCCGGGTACTACGAGTTATCTTGACCGGTACTACTTATATGCTTAACGAGTCACTCCGCTATCGTTGACTGTCTGGCGCCATCTTGTGACTGAAAACACTTAACCACCGCGGGTTACAATGGAAGACTTCAGCATTCATTTCAACATATATGGTAAAAACAAATCTTTTTAGCCGTTTCGTGTCGGGGTCCTGATCACCCTGTCGGGGTTTATTCTGAGATAACAACCGGCTGGATGTACATTATCCCTTACTTATCTTAATATTATGCTGTTACTTATTTTTTTAACTTTCGTGTTACACGTGGCATGGATTAGTCTGTACACCTAAGTCCGTCCAAATCCAAGTTAAACTCTATCCCCAAATGCTCAGATGAGATGTCAACTCTGCGTGGTCCATCTTGACTTTGTTGTTTGCTTGTTTTCGTCACTTACATTATTCTGCTTGTGCACTGGTTCGTGAAGCTGAACAGCCAATCAGAGTGGTCTCTCTCATCAACAGGCTCCGTCGCCAATTCAACATGCACTAGAAAGTTTCGTCCTTGTCCAGTGTCCCCGCTATTTCTCTCCAGAAGTCATCACCGATAAAAATATCTTGTACTTGTTTAAACTAGAGTTGCGTGGATCTCACTGGGCTCACACAAGCGCTCTTCAACACAAGTCTTTATTGTTGTTGCCGTTTCCAGTTGTTGTTCTGCTTCTTCTGTTTCATTTTCGACTGTGAAACAATGGTTCGGGGTAGTGCAAAGAATTCAAGGTGCATGTGCCATTTATATGGGTTAGAAAAATCTGTCTGAACGCATATAAAGCTGCTGATGAAATTTCCACGTGTAAAAAAAATAATAAATAAAAAAAAAAGTAGACTTTAGACTTAAAGGGGGCATTGAATTAAATTTTCACTTTTTTAGCTTTTTTTTGCATTTGTGTGCCAGCTCAGAAAAGCTGAAAAGAAAACACGCAGCCAGTTTGTTATGGGCTGTCTGAGTCTGAAACGGTGTCATCCAGCGAGCCGTTTCAATTTGCAGCCGGTTTCTACATAGACAGCTAGCTATTTGAATAAGACCACCTCTGAGCCATATACAGAGTCCAAGGCAGCAATTCATGTGTCTTGTGTCAACACACACGCCCCACAGAAGAGAGGGGTGGGGTGAGCAGAGCTCATTATCATTTAAAGAGACATGCACTGAGAGCTGTTTTTGACAAGGTTAAAAGGGTGTTGTTTTACACAACCATTGAGGAATTGTAACCAAAGTATGTTACAGACATTTCATGAAGACCCTAAAGAATGATAGCAACCTGTAGAAAATTGGCATCCGATGTCTCCTTTTAAAGAGGGGGCAACCACTGCAGAAACACCCTGGCAACCACCCAGAATTCCTCTGGAGCTGTATAGCAGCATGCCAAATACTCAGAATAGTTGACAGGCAAGCATCACTCAAATTGAATGACACCTCAAATCATGAAACTTATGAGGGGAGGTTTTGCTATTTGTGATTGTATTTACCATTTTCACCAGTTTTTTTTTTCCAGAAATTCCTGAAAAAATCCTGTATACTTCCACTGAAAGAGGGAGTTAGAAGACCTATATCATGGAGATGACTTGAGAGTAGCCAAAACACCCTAGAAACCACATAGCAATGCACTAAAAAACACCCAGAACACCTTAGCAATGTCCTGGCAATCACCCACAAATTTTGTATGGGGAAGAAGTGGCAGAAAATTAGAATTTTTATCAATTAGCAATTTTCTAAGCAATTAGATTTTAAAGTTTTGACCCGGAAATGTGAAAATCTATTTAGATTAAAGAGTACAGGGCAGATTCACCCTGGTTTGTGCTTTGCAAAAAGGGCCAATAAAGCTCAAGTGTGTTCTTAATACCCATTATCGTCCTCTAGGTTGTGCTGTTGGGTTATATCACCCTCAAACAGCTAAAATCATACAGGTCTACATTTCTGTTTGTTGAAAACATGCATCATGTGTATGGCCACATTTACCTATACATGATGCTACACTTTAACCTCATTCTACCGACTGTTGTCTCATCTGTATCTCTGTCTTTCTGACCTCCGCAGGACTGCAAATGGAAAATGTACATGGAGCTTGATGGGGATGAGGTGGCAATAGCATATATCAAAGATGTGACCTTCAATGCCAACAGACCAGATGTAGATATATTAAAGATGACCAAGGTGGGAAATGTCATATAACACTGTAAATTACGTCTCCATTTGAGGAATGCAGCAGACTGAGGTCGTATAGCTGAGATGACTGTGGCGTTATGCTTCCTCACAACTATGTTTACTCCACCAACACAAGTTTTAAATGTGTTGCGACTAGAAAGAAGACCCGATGCATGTTATGATGCTGTCATGGCTTTCAGTCTTAGGTTGATGTGCTTTACTGTTTGTGGTAAAATCTAAATTACTCTCCAGCCTCCGTTTGTGATGGATAAATGGATCGTCGGAATATCTGGCACACAAACCGTTGACTGCACAGTAAACTATGAGGTAAGTACTAGACAAAAGACTACAACCACAGTACAGTCAACATGAAATAGCACTTTATTTTACAGTCTTGTTCTGCATGTATTTACTACATACTTACTATAGTAATTAGTAAAGGTACTAACCCTCAACTCAACCCTGAACAAAACCTAAAACCTTAACCCATGTTAAGCCCATGTAGTTACCTTATATAACTCACAACTTTCTTGGGTAAGTACACCAAAGTACAGTGCATATACTTGCATAAAATAAAGTGCAACCAAAACTTCCGAAATGTGCCTTTTTTATATAGTGAAACTGCATATTCTATAAGAAAAAATTGTAAGATGAGACTTAATTTTAATCAATGGTTAAAAACTACTGCAACAAAAGTGGCAGAGCAAGTTTTGATGAAAGATTTATTTTTACTTTGAAATAATGGAAGATGTGCACAATAACAATAACCTTGTGAAAAAGTACTATTTAGTATACTTTAAAAAGAGGACTTATTACAGAAATAATATATTTTAAAAGATTATACTGAATGCATGTTAAATGTAATTTCAAAATGTATTTCATGATAACTTTTCTTGACATATGGTGTATGTACTGACAAGCATTTATGGTAAATAAAATATACTTTCATACATCATTTCTATTAAAACTTGCTTGTCATGTATTTAAATATATGTGTAATTATGAAGCTACAATTTAGTGCATTTAAAATATATTACATTGAAATGTGATTTTGTATAACACACTGCAGTTAAAATTATAATCCAGTACTTTACATGTGCTTTAGTATATTAGTCAACAAAACAAAATAAATGCATTTCTTTGAAGCACGACAAAAGATCAATAAAACATAATGATTTAAAATGGACTTAAAGTATAACTTTTAATTTGATGAATTATTTCAAAATGCACTTTTTAAAAGTGTACTGAAGTGTGAAACGGGTGTTAACATGAACTCTCTTTAAGTACACTTGAGTGGCGTTTAATTTCATTAATATAAGTACAATTAAAAATATACTTGATTTGAAGTACACGACAAGTGCACATTTAATACTTTTTCACCAGGGTATGAATGCAAATTAAGAAAGTAAATGTTCGATTTTAATTTCATGTTACATATAAAATAGATGTTAAAGTACTTTCAGGTAGTAAACTGATGTGATGTCTGTCGTTGTGATTTAGTACAATAATAGTATAACCCGTTTCATAAAACTCCTTATGTGCAAAAAAATAGTGTACAATTATTTGGGATATTTTGTAGTTAATTGAATGCAGCATTTTCAAATGTGCCATTAAGGTTATAAGGGGACATGTTTCAACTGGTAGCTTGTCTCCTGCCAGAGTAACGTGAGATCTCCTAAGTGCACGAGACATGAGCACAGAGTGCAGTGGAGACCAGGCAGCGGGAGGGACGTGATCAGACCTGTAGAGCTGGCCATTGAGACGGCGCCAAACATCAGGGAAGGTTACAACAGAAGCAGGTCCAACTCAGGTAATACAATACTGATTAGTAGAGAGTTTGCTTGGTGTCATATTCAAATTAATTATATTCAACTTTCTTTTGAAAGTCAATATAATTCACACACACACACACAAACACATGTATGTGTGTGTGTTTGTGTTCTGAGTCTCAAACAAAACCCTCTTTCTGAGTGTGTGTGTGTGTGTGTGTGTGTGTGTGTGTGTGTGTGAATCAAAAGAAATCAATTATATTGAATCAAAAGAAAGTTGAATATAATTCATTTGAATTTATATATATATATATATATATATAATTTTACACAAAATTGTATGTTGCATGCATTCATCATTCAACCCAAGTTTTGCTAAGACAAATATATATTCAAATATATTTTATATTAAAATATAAAAACAATAATTTGTATTTAATTTATAGGTAAACTAACTAGTTCCTACTGAGTAATAGCTTAATTTGGGCAATATTTGCAATACTGTTACTTTATTTTGTATGTTTTTAAGTATTTATTTTTATTTATTTATTTAATTTTATTTTACCATTTTTGGCTGTTGCATTTGGAAATAAAAATAAAAGCAATTACAAATTACAAACATTTTGATATCAGGGTTGCAAAAATCGCAAACCCCACATGAAATGAACAAAAATAAACCAGCTGAAATGATATTTAGTTTGGCCTTCCGAGATTGAATGTCCTTTCAGCCCTATTTTGCATATTCATGGAAAATGTCTTGGTTTGTCATTCTGTTCCTTGATCAGGCGTTAATCCCAGATGGATTCACAGTCTGAGGATGAAGCAGATTAGAGAGCATGCTGCCCCGGAGTCCACAGGCAAGATGACCCTCCCTCAGTTCCTCTCCGTCATCGGGAGCCAGTCATCGTACGCCGCTGCTGTGAGGAGATCGCCCAATCGCAGCCCTCTCACTCCATGGACAGACTCCCGGAGTTCCTCTCCCACCCTTTCTGTCAAACTCTCCACTATCCATCTGGGGTCAAAGGGCAGCAGCCCATCCAGCACGACATCTGAGAGCACCTCAGAGCGAGAGCGGCCCCCTAGTGCTGGAGCTAAACACAACTACAACAGAAAAACATACTATGACCACACGTTTAAAATCACTGGAGGAGGAAGAGGAGAAGCAGAAGCCAGAAGATTTAATCAGATATCACAGAGAGGATCCAGAGGCATCCAACATGCTGGACGGCAACGAAACTACAACTTTTGCATAACGCCATCTAACCACCAACGCCCAATACCAGGGATGTCAGTTGTCACTGAGGGGGTGAAGCAGAAAGGGGCATCTGAAGAGGCCGGGTCTGGTGATGGGGACTGGATCAAAGTAGAAAGAAAGAAATCTAATAAACAGGAACATAAGCATCAGGAAGTGAGGCAGACCAGAGGCCGGCCACGCAGAGGAGGGAGAGGTGGTGGGCGTGGCCGAAGTTGAGCGTTTGTAAAGCGTTAGGCTGATAGAAGGGGTTGGTAATGAATCACGTTTGATCTACTGTAAGGGCTGGAGAGCTGGTTTGTAACCAAAGCACTTAACCCCAGTTGTTCTTAGGGGATTGTTGGTGTACTGTAAGCAGTGGCGCAAAAAGGGGGTATGCCGTATATGCAGTGCATAGGGGCGCCGCACGGAGAGGCCAAAATCATTCTGTGAAAATCTTCTTTAATAAAATGTTATAAATAATCAAAAGCTTAGTTGTTAAAAAAATTATGAAATTGAACATTTATATTTAATGGTTGTTTCACATTTTAATGAGTTCAAAAATGTATTTATTATAAACTGAGTACATATCAACTGTTCACCCAAAAAAACAATGCATTAATGGGGACAGCAATGTCTAAGTGAACTAACAGAGATGGGTAAGCTTACCTCTAAAAAAAACAAATAAGTCGAGATATGTTTGTGAATGTTTGGTTTACATTTGAGAGAAACTGAGAAGATTGTTAGCAAGGATGCAAACTAGTCAGCTTTCGCCGAAAATTGCTACTTTAAATTCCAAGTAGGCCATTTGTGTTGATCTGACAAGTTTTTTAAAAACTCTTGATACTTCATTCTTCAATACAAAAAAATGTGATTTTTAAATGTTATAATAATGATTTTATAATGTCTAAATGTAAATCTAAA